AATACTGTTGAGATATTTTTTTTTAAATATTTGAATGATAAATAGAAATATTTTTTTTTCTCAAAGTCACAGTCATGCCGCCTGTATTCCCTTCCCTCCTCCGATCAATCTATTTTTTTTAAAAAATCGTAGTTTTGCCCCGAACAAACTGAAACATAACCGTTTCTAGATCAGTACAAAAATCACACAAATTTTCTTGGTGTGAGGACTACTTCTAGTCAACTTTTGAGTTCGGTTTCCTCAGATTACCATCAAATGAGCTTGTCATCATCGCTAGGCGTTTAAGACATCCTGTGCGGCATCTCTTCCGCAGAGTGATTTCAGTATGTTTCAGTTTCTGCCTTTGAACTAATCGATGTTAGTAAGCAAACTAACTTCAGGAACATCTTGTGAGTTTTTCTCAAGCATACTGATCAGTGCCGGTGCTCGATAATCCTCTTGTTTTGTTAGAAGAGTGATCGATTTGCCGCTTTTCCTGAAGAAAAGGCAAATATCTCATGAAATTTTTCACTTCATTTGAATACCTACAAGAATTTACGTAAAATCAGGCGTAGAACCAAACAGAATAAGGCTATTTTGGCTACACGGATAGGCAGAAGGTTCAGAGTGATGAAATATCAGCTATTTAAAGAATTGCCCGAAACGTGAAACATCATACCTTAAAACGCAGGTCGGGAAGCACTGGGCTTGCCGGTGTGATCGTGTGTTTTTGCACCAGACTTGAAGTACTCAGGCCGTTAACTGCATGAATGGTTACTGCTCTACATCTATTCTTTGTGCTCACTGGCATAAGTCATCATAAATTTCGCATAAAGAAAATAAATAGTCCCATTTTAACGGTCGTTTTTTGAAGGAAACCTAGCTGTTCAGTGAGCACTTTTCCCGCCAAAATTTTTAAGTGCTCATACGTGAGAACCAAGCATACTTCGAAGCCGAGTGTAAAATATTTAATTGGTATTTGGAGGGAGAACACTCCCCTAATATTTCAGTCTTTTAGTTTTTTCGATTCCCGAATTAGTGATTTTCCTGCCAAAACTTTTGCGTGCCCGAACACGGGTGCCCCACGTGCCTGGCGGAAAGGGGGAGAGCTAAATTTGAAATCTTTAAATTGTATTTTGACGAGGAATGTCCCTTTAAAATTTCAGCCTTTCAACTTTTCTGTTTACCGGGTTAGCAATTTTTTCGGCAAATCTTTCATGTGCCCGAACGTGAGAACCACGAACACCCAGGGGCTGAATTTGAAATTTTTAGCTCACACATGCATAGGAAATATCCATGCAAAATTTCAGCTCTCTACCTTGGCTGGTTCCGGAGATCGTCTGCCCGCCAAAAAATTTGCATATTTTTTAAGGTGTTCGTACGCAGCATCCAAGCGTACGGAGGTGATGATATTAAAACGGGAGGGTCACACACAGTGTCGGCACATACCCGAAATTTCAGCCTTCCAGCTTTTCCGGTTCTCGAATTAAAAGCGGGTGACAAAAAGTGCGAACATGCAGACACACACACACAGCCTTTTGCCAATATGCGTTTTTGCATTTGCATATATGTAAAAACGCAGGAAAAGCTAGGCATCGGAAGAACATGAAATACCGTCAAAAAAGCCTGCTGTTCAAAGCGTGCAATCTATCTTTGTTCCAGTTTTATTGTCTGGTAAAAGTATTGCGCACTTTCGGTCGGGAAAACTGCTGAAAATTGTCGGTTATATTGAAAGCGCGACGGCGCATTACAGTGAAAGGACAACTGGTCACTGTATGAAATATTCCGATGCAAATTAAGCTCATTAATTGAGAACAAACCCGGCTCTTCCAGTTCGTCCTACTCGATGCACATACATCTCCAAAGTCGTTGGGAAATCAAAATTAAACACATGCCTGTAAAGATAGTAACTGAAAAAATTTCAAGTGCTGCATTTTTACTAAATCTAAAAACCTCACTAAAATATTTAGTTCCTTGTTGTCATTATCCAGTGAATCTATATAAGCTAAAACCGCCTAAGAAACCCTTCGGGTTTTATCGATTTTTGAAGAATTACGTTATATTTGGAAGATCGATGCCCCTCGATGCAACATCCGTTGCAACAAGCACTTTGATTTGCCCCTTCCACAACGCACTCAGCGCTTCTTCACGTTGTATCTGATCACGTCCGCCATGCATTGCCGCGCAGGGAATTGACTTCTCCAGCAAGAGACGCTCAATTGTATCCACGTCGCATTTTCTGGAATTAAAT